ATAATTTAAAATTGTGATAACAGACGTAAAGGACAAAGGAGTTAATTGTATTAAATATTGTGTGTTAATGAAAGCAGTTTAACTTTGATAAATATAATTCTGCCTTTAATATTTAATATTACATTGTACATTATAATAATAAATCATCTGAATATTGTTAAGTGTTTAAAATGAGCCATTACACGGCCGATAGGCACTGATTGGTAGTTTGGTGATTATGAAGCTTCTCAGGTCACACTGAGTGAAATTCTGTGTCTGCTGTCAAACTTCAGCTACGCCGGTAGCAAAGCCCTCGGTGACAGTGTACCAAGCAGCATCCAGTGATCATCTGGAGGAGAAGAGATCCCTGCTGTGTGTGGCCTCACAAATGGTTCCTCCTGTGGTCAAGATCTCCTGGAAAAGCCAGAAGCAGGACGGATCTCCGCTGGCGGCGCCCCCTGGTGACACAGAACAGCTGGACATCATAGAGTCCGATTACACTGCCAGCATCTTGTTGATCCATCAGCAAGACGAGAACTCACATACATATGGCTGTTCTGTCACACACGAGGGGGGGACGGTGGAGGGTCAAATAGAGGAAGGTAATGAAAGTTTGTTGCCTTTTCAGCATGAAATTAGCTACGCAGCTACTCAAATGTGACTTTTCTGTTTCAGGAGTTTCTCAAAGTCCACCAAAAGAACTTCCACCAGATACACTTTCCACCAATCAAACTTTAACAGAAGGTCCATCATCAGAACATCCCGTGTCTCAAAAACAAGTAAAACTGCTCTGCCTGGTGTACACGGTGCTGATCACGAAGAGTCTGGTGTACTGCTGTGGAGTCTCTCTGCTCAGGCTCATCAGACGCAGCCGCAAACACGCAGCTGACTGACTGTTTCCTTCTTCTTGGCTTATCGCTTTTCATATCGTTTATCACTCAGGATTTAGAAAAGTCTGTAACAGTGCAGCATTTTGGTTGTTTTTTTACTTTCTTTTTTATTTCAATATTAAAAAAAGAGCTGAAACAGAAAAGGCTGAATTATTAGCTCCCTAGTAGATGATTCATCATTTATAGCATTTGTTTAATTAAAACAAAGTGTTGCCTGCTCTTCAAAGTATTTCTCTGCAATATTCCGAATAAAGCAAACAAAAAAAATCTTGCTTGTTTGAGTTTAATTTTGTAGAAAACTGCGAGAAACAGCAGCACTCCCAATATATGCTGATAGGCAACGAGCAGTGGTAAAAGAAGAACAAATGTTTAATGAGATACAAACAGGATTTTAAAGAAGATGAGAACATGAAACCATAAATCTGTTAGATAAAAAAACATGCAGGTGTGTCTGAGCCTTATTTTTAGTTCACTATCATTGGGACTGCATAGTCATCACATGATGTGATATCATAGTGTGGAAGTAAATGTTCAAAATCATAATGTTCCCTCACAAAATCACAAATTCCTTCCAGATGCAATAAAATTGTTAAACACAATGACCCAATATTTATTTGAATATGAAATTATAAATGTTAAAATAAATTAAAATTAGAGTTCACCTTGATTGGTTTAATTTTGTAAAGGACATATTTAGCAGATGCATTTGTGAACTCTCACCAATGTGTTTGTCATTCAACAACAATTAGTTCTATGACCTAAAATATTATTTAATATGTTCTCCATGATTCGAAGCAGATAAAACTATGAAAGCAAACTCCAGTTTTAAGCTCTGTCCTCTTTCAGACATTGCAAATCAAATGTTTCTTTATACAGATAGTGTGGTTTTCTTATTAAAGGAAACAGAATAAAAACTGTCTAACTAAAGGAACCAAACTATCAGGAACCCGTGGATGTTGTTTTCTGGACTCAGTCTTAAAAACGATATCATCTTTACACCAGCTTTATTTGGACTGTGTGGGGTTTTTTACACATGCACATGTATATCCTGCAGTGTCTGCATATCTATATATCAGTTATGTAAATTATGTGTCATTGTGTGTTCCATGTGAGATTGTTTAAAGCCTCTGAACAATGTCATGATATCAGTGCAGCTGTTAGCGCTGCGACCCCATAGCAGCGTCCTTTAGCTTTTAAAACTAACATGGATCGCTTTTCAACTTTTTAACTGAATCTCTTTCAAACAGCTTAAAGTCTGTCAAATTGTTCTAGTTTTTATAAATTTTCCTTTTATTTGAATTACCCTGAATACTGTATTTACTTTTTCTACTAAACATTCTGTATTAATTTCATCAATCGTACTTCTATTTTTTTGCTAACTTTTGAAAATGACTAAAACTGAAGTATTCTGGTAGTTAAGGGGACAGATGGTCCTAAGAGTCAAGACTACACTACAACGAATTCAAACACCTGACTTTGTTAAAGCTGCGCAGTAAAAATAAATATACTTTAAACAAGCAGCAGAAAACACCAAATGTTGATGAAATATTTCTTGATGCTGACATCTAATTTTCCACCAGCATACATGAGCTAAATACTGAAAGCCCTGATTCCAAACTTATCATTGTTTCATTTAATGTGTTTAGGTGGAGCAAGTAAAAACATGATCAAGTGGAAGTGAAATAAAAACATGTGAGGTGAAGCGCTGGTGTTTGTTTCGAGAAGAACAATAAGTTGTTTGTTTCAGCGGTTTCCAAGTCTGTCTCTGTGTGGTTTGTCTTCTCATACGAGCAGGATGTCCGAGACTCAGCGGTGAACTGTTCTCATGCGATCACTTCATAAACTTTAAATTCCTATAATACTGTTTAACTGTGATTTCTTCCATATTCTTTGCATGAATGGTGCTATTTGCACCAAAAATCTCTCACATATACTTTTAAGTTGTGTTCGTCATTACTGACCACTAAAGTCGAACCTGCATTCATGTGAATAAGCACGTGACCTCGTCTTGAATGTAACACTAGTGTAGCTCAGATTAACCTTAATGCTGGTTTGTACAGCTAACCTAAAATTCATCCTAATGACTGATTTTAATAAACACCAGCTTAGATGTTGTAGGACCAACATTATTAAAGACAAGTTTGTGTTCCCTGTATTGGTTTTGTAGGATGCAGCTGACCTCACTTCTAATGTTTGGTGAAAAAAACAAAACAAAACCTAAACAAACAAAACTTTATTCGATTTCATCATTATAGCACACGGAGTCACTGCAGTGAAGGGGTCTGAATACTTTCTGGAATTATTGTGCAACTGTGGCTGTTGCTGTAACTGTCACTGTGACATTAAAGTGAAAACCCCCAACTCGCACAGAAACCCACACAGCCCAGCTGCTGCACAAAGGGAAGCTCTGATTGGCTGTTGACTTTCTTTTCTGTCCTAATAACCGCTGAGAACAGATCCATATCTGCTGCTGCACCCCTCTATCTCATTCTTTTCCACTGAGCGCTCCACCCACTCAGAGCTGAACTGACCCCGTCTGACCCACCTGCTACATCATTTACTTTTTATTATTCTTTTGCTCTTTGTTAATGACTGACAAGGTTTTGCTACATTAAATAAATCGATGGCACAAAGCTTGTATTGAATCAGCTGTTTTGGACAATTTCAAGGTTGATTTAAAAACCTTTAGAACTTTTAATCCAACCATCAGAGCAACGTGTTAGCAGCTTCAAATTAAGAAGCAACACAGATCCTTACAGTTACTTTGTCTTAATGAAATTACACAACAAAAAATATTCAATTACAATTAATTTTATGCGTGTGTGTATGTGTGTGTCTGTGCATGATAGTGAACCTAAAATATGTAATCAAAAAACCCTGAATTATACACGAGACGTTATCTATCCAAATAACTGAGCTTTAAAACTTCTAACTCTATATCTTTGTACTTTATATTTTTGAGCATGGAAACTAATCGAAAATCTTGTAGTCCAGACAGCAGGTGCTGCTTCTGGGCCAAGTTTAAATTTATTTCTGGATGACTTATAAGCATGAGTAAACCTCTCCCAGTGTCCTGTGCACTGTCTGCAGCGTGATTGTATGTTGCAAAAGAGTCTTTACTTCCCTCCAGTGGTCACACTGAGTCACAACGAAACTTGTGTGTCTCACAAGATTATTGATTATTAAACGGGTCATTCATCTCAAATCAACACTGGTCTTCTACTCAACCATCTCAAATTTACATCAAAATGTTGTGACACAAAGTTTGAACATGTATAATGGTTGCTGACAAATTTTAGATTCATAAATCCAATTAGTTTCAGGATATAGGACTTGGCGGAGGACTTTTTAAAGAAAGGTTCCTTTCAGGTCTTTTTTTTTTTTGCACACTGAAATCTGAGGCAATGTTTAAACATCGATATCTCAAAGGCTGTTTAAAATAAAAAGTTCTATACTTATCAGACTCTTCTAGGACAAAAGGGCTCAAAATGGTAGGAGTAGGTCTTGAAAACATTAAGTACGGACAAATATGGGATTTTAAAGGACTACTTGATACGCTAATAGAGAGACATGTGATGCATTTGTCTGAAATACACAATTACAGATGCTGATGGCTGATGGCAAAAATGACTAGTGAAAATTTCAGGCTTGTCATTTAAACCATGTTTTCTTAGATATTCATGTGAAAAAAATGGTTTGAAAGTGAGTTGGAACATTTTTTTAAAGTATTTGTTATATGAAGCTAAAAATTCACAACATTTAGTATATGTGTTGAAACTTTGTAACATAAAATATTTATGTTAATTAGAGGCGATCGTGGCTCAAGCGTTGGGCGTTCGTCTTGTAATCGGAAGGTTGCTGGTTTGAGCCCCGGCTCCGACAGTCTCGGTTCGTTGTGTCCTTGGGCGAGACACTTCACCCGTTGCCTACTGGTGGTGGTCAGAGGGCCCGGTGGCGCCAGTGTCCGGCAGCCTCGCCTCTGTCAGTGCATCTTGTGGACATCGGCTTTGCCAGCTGATTCAGTAGGGCTATGATGTGACTAAGCCTCTTGTTACAAGCGATGGCGGGGACTCAAGTGCAGAGTTCAGTTCCAAAAACAGAGTTTTATTTACACAATCACCAGGTGCAGAATATATACATTGGGGGAAATTCAGGGTTCCTAGGGTCCATGGGGAAAATCAGGGAAGGGGTAGCTCTCTCGCACACGCTCTCTTCGTCACACACGTCCACACAGCGGGTAGGTTATGGTCTGGGAAAACTATTTACAAAGAGATAGGTTACGCAGAATCGCAGAGTTACACACGAAAATTTCACTGATACTAGAGGCTCACTAACGTGTCTCGCACAATCATCCAGCGATGAGGCTGTCTGCGTCTCGGCCTTAAATGGCAAACACATAATGACGGCCTGATGGACAACAGGTATGGTCCAAGGGCGGGGGCCTGCAGTGAGCTCCGCCAAGGCGGAGAGGCAAGAGAAAGAGAGAGTAAACAAAAGCACATGTAGCCTTGCGGGGCTGGGCGGGCAGACACCGGGACCATGGCACCTCAAAGACTTTAAGTTACAAGTACTACAGATCATTAATTGTTTATTTATAGATTTAGAAGCAATGCCACCACAGCTATCCCTCCCGTGATTAAACTGATTTCAAAGTTTTTTTTTGATTATTTACTTTACAATCAGCACAGTGGCACGATGGCTAGCACTGTTGCTGTACAGCAAGAAGGTCCTCAGTTTAATTCCACCATCAGGCCGGGGTCTTTCTGTGTGGAGTTTGTATGTTCTCCCCGGGTACTCCGGCTTCCTCCCACCATCCAAAGACATGCAGTTTGTGGGGATAGGTTAATTGGTAAATGGCCTGTATTGTAGTCCCTAAGGACCCCAAAGTGCTTTACACTACATTCAGTCATCCACCCATTCACACACATTCACACACTGGTGATGGCAAGCTACTGCGACAGACTGGCGACCTGTCCACCGAGTACCCTGCCTCTTTGCCCTATGACAGCGGGGATAGGCTCCACTGCCCCCGCCCCCACGACCCTGAAAAGGAGAAGCAATTGACACCCCTTTCTCAACGAGAAGTTTGGGCTTGGGTGAGCCTGAGTGCTGAAGATATCTACCTATTCGGAACCATGGTAACAGGGTAAATAAGTTTGGTTCTCCCTAATTTATGTTGGGTTTCCATCATTAAACTCTAGTGGACAAAATCTGCTAGCATTGTTGCTAGTCAGTCACAGATCATCTACTTTGGAAGTCTGGGAAACTGAGAAATTGTTCAACTCATATAGCAGATTAACTAAAGATTTGTTTGACTGGAGTTGAAAACTGTTTGTGGTTAGATATGGGCAGACTCACCTTTTCACACAGAAGCAAGTTAGTGAATTGTGGAAAGGTGAGAAAGGTTTAGATTAAATCAGCTATTTCGTCTCCCCCCTTTTTTATTACATATATTACAGTTATATTATCAGTCTTTGCGTAGTATGATTTAGTACCATAATGAACACATACCTGTGGCATTAGCTGGTTGATCCTGCAGCAGAATTTGGGGAAATGGTTGTCCTGTTGAAAACCAATAATGGATTCATTTTCATTATTGTTTAAAACAACAGGTACAGCCTTTATATTTCCTCTAAATAGCAGACCTTCATTCCTTTTGATCTTCTTTAAAATCTTCTTTGTCACCGCTGCAGTCTTTGTATCGTACATCTGCACCATCAGGTCCACTGTGTCCAGTCTGTCTGCGTTCTCCAGTCGACTCTTTTTGATTGGCTTGAAGCCATCCCTTGACTCAGTAACATTTTGCAGACACCACTTGAAGTTTTTCAGCTCTTCAGTTCCCAAAGTCTCCAGAGTTTCCCACAGCCATTCCTTTAAAACGCCCGTCTGTCTTTTTTATCTGATAAAGTAAGAGAACGTTTTTGATAATTCGTACACTAAACAATGAACAAGAAAGAGTCGTTTTATAAAATCTCACCAACATCTGAGTTATTAACAGAAAAAAAAACAAATAGACTGGTCAAACAACAGATAATATAGGCTTTTAAACCATAAAAATCAACATTTTTGTGCGACTAACATCAAATTTAATCAAATTTTAATTTTTGTAATTTTGCAGTAACCTTGAATCTTGTCATTTTAGACAGTCTTTCTTAAAAAAGGACAGTCTAATTGTTAGGTCAGTGTTCTGCTTAGAGGTCTGTGATGGCCAAACCCGTGGCCACACTCTAAAGTCGGTAACTTTTGTATTTTCATTCTTCATTTGAACATAGTAATACATTTTAGTTGCCAATAACTTTATTGATTGGTTTGGATACATTTGTTCTATTTGTAAGCGTGCACATTTAGTTTACTTATGTATTCATACTACTTCATTTCTTTGCTTTCTGACTAACCTTTTTCTTTTTATTTCTTACCTGCCATCATCCCTGGGAGTTGCTGGACAAAAGATGGTAGCCAGGGTTTGAAATCATTAGATGCAAAGGAAGATAATTGGACCACACCACCACTTCCTGCTGAAGGGGGGAATGTGTGTTTTCTTTACTTTAAAAACAAAGTATTTGTATTTAATTAAATATTTGAGTTTAGGGTTTAATGGGGTTTTTTGATTTTCTTCTTTGGTGTTTAGTTTATTAACAAACCAGATTGTACTGCATCGTTTGTGATTTATGATTGTGTTTGTTTGTTACCCCCTCATGTGTCACAATGGTCTGATCAGCCATTATATATACCCTTGTATGTCATTTCATGTTTAGGTCAATTGTGTTTGTATGTAGCAGTCATTTGGTTTGTTAAGTTTGCAGTCGTTGCCTGAGTTCAGTTCAGTTTTGTTTCTTTGGCCTCTTTTATGAGCTCAACATTTATTAGTCTTGTAAATATAATTTTTGGGGGTTAAATAAATGGAAACTATATTTTTCTAATAATTCCTGGGACTCCTCCTCCTGTTTTTCAACTCGGTCCAGCACAAGGTCCAAGTGACCTGAGTTTACTCTTTGCTGCTTGGTCTTCATCATCCTGCCTGTGACACAGTTTTGAGTGTGAATAGTACCTCTGTACCTCACCTCTGAGCTTTGGTCTGGCTCTCATGTTCCCCACACAGAGTGATTTTAGAGGGAGGGACTCCCTCCTCTCTGTCCTCACACTGATCCATGCTGCTGAATTCACATCAGCTCACACACACTTTCTACCTTCACCTGCAGAGGAAACAAAGTAAGCAGAGCAAGCGCTTAATTCATCATTTATACATATTACACCTCAATATGTCATTTATAAATATACAATTTACAGCTATCACTGCATGTGATAATCATAACAATATTCAGAATAACATCATTTTGAAGTTCGCGGACGACACTGCAGTGATCGGTTGCATCACTGGAGGAGACGAGGCGGCTTACAGGAGAGAGGTGGCCGGTCTGGTGTCATGGTGTAAGGACACCCTCAACACTGACAAGACAAAGAAGATGATAGTGGACATGAGGAAGAAGAGGAGGCCTCACCCACCGCTGTCTATCCGGGGCCTTGAAGTGGAGAGGGTGAGCAGCTTCAGGTGCCTGGGCGTCTACATCACCGAGGACCTCACCTGGTCACTGAACACCACACAGCTGGTCAAGAAGGCTCAGCAGCGGCTGTATTTCCTGAGGAGGCTGAGGAAATTTGGTATGTCGGCCAAGATCCTCAGCAGCTTCTACAGCTGCACTGTGGAGAGCACACTGACCAGCTGCATCACTGCATGGTACGGCAGCACTACTGCTATGGACCGCAAACGCCTGCAGAGAGTGATAACAACTGTGGAGAAGATCACCAGGACACCGCTGCCCTCTCTGCAGAGCATCTACCATCATCGAGTCCAGAGGAGAGCTGCCTCCATCCTCAAAGACCCCACACACCCCCAACACAGACCGTTCACACTTCTGCCCTCAGGGCGGAGGTTCAGAAGTTTGAAATCCAGAATATCGAGACTCAACAACTCCTTCTTGCCCACTGCCATCAGACTCTTGAACAGCTGACCCATTTTGAACAGTAATAATACATTTATTTTGCACATCAGGTCATCTTACACATTAAGCTATAGCTCTTTTACACACATTTCTGTTTCAGATCTCCATATTTTGTCTCCTTTACTGTCTACATTTATTTATTTGTACTATTTGTATTTACATGTTCTGTTTCTATTGTATATATTAATTGGCATCTGTGGGTGGACAGCAAAGAAAGAATTTCATTGCACAGAGAAATGCCTTTTCTCTTGTGACACATGACAATAAACACTTTGAATTTCTTGAATAATACATCTGTTTTAAATTACTACTATTATTATATGACATCACTATAAAGTGCTACTGAAGATGTGAGCTCTCAGATGAGCAGTGAGGCCCACACACTGACACAGCAGAAAACTGTAGTAAATGCAATGAAATAAAATGACTCTGTGTTGCTGTGAAAAACAGAAGCGACATTTACAGTAAAAACCGAGAAGAAAAGCTTTAATGATGAGGATGTGAAATCCTTTAAAAAGTGATGCTTCCTGTTTGCATTTACTCTCACTAAAAGGGAAGTCCACCAGCGTACAACTGACATCTGTACTGAATACAGCTGCGGGATTCAGGACAGATGCACAGATTATGATCATTATATTAATTAATATATTATATGGAATATTAATATATTAATTAATATATTAATTAATTAATAATTAGTAGTATTATAAGTACAGATTACAGATGCTCAAGGGTCCTGTGACCAAAAGAGGTTCTCCAAATTTACTGACAATAATGTAGCTTTGTAAGATTGTGAATATGTCCTTTTTTTATTTTTAGCTGAGTACCACAGGAGGGTGGAGCAGAGTAGAAATGAATGCTGTGTTTGATTTACAACCTGTGTCCTCATAAATGGAAAAGTCCCCTCATGGTTTGCGTTGAAGGAGTGTGTTACAATACGCCTAAAGGAATATTTAGACTCTTTGCTGAAGTTACCAAAAAGGAAGGAATAAAATGAGATATTTGTCCTGAATCACCATGTATTAGTCGGCTTATATTTTAAAATTTGCAGAAATACGAAATAACCAAAGGTACATGAACATCATATATTCATTATTGAATGAACCATCCGTTTTCTGCCTCATAATCCAAGAGAAATGCTCAGACTTCCCTCTTCCAGCCACCTGCCTCAGCTATTCTTTGTACACAAAGACGTTCCCAAACAAAGCCTGCCTTTGTAGCACTTATCAGGGCTGGAACATTCAAGGTCCATCATTAGAGCTACTCCTCCAAACACCAAGAATCAAACACAGCAGTAGACCTGCAAAAATAAGAACTACCACCACCTTCATCTAGGGTGTCACACAGGTTCATCACTGTGGTGTATTATTTAATAAACCAAGGCCAAAATCACAGCCTGAAGCTATCTTAATTTAAAAAAAAAAGAAAAAAAAAAGAATGTTTTGCTTCATGTCATTTATTTTTAAACCAAGATGATGTTGACTGATGCTGATTGAGTCGATCAGAAACACAACCTTTCCTGACTCCAGGAGTTCATCCATTGATCCAGAGGGACGCTAAAGGATCTTCACTAATAGAGAGGTCACAGATTCATGGAGTTTTGGCTCTACTCTCCTCATCCCATCTCTAAGACGGAGGTCAGCCACCCTTCAGATGAAGCTCGTTCTGACACACTGTGCTCACCTTCATCAGAATAGAGCACTACAGCAGCTTCATCACTGCAGGCGCTGATTACGTTTATTTAAAGCCTTTTGTTGTCCACATTTTTCCTCTGCCACTTATCTATATCACCATGTTACACCCCGACATGATGCAGATAGTTTCAGAGAAACAAAAAAAAAAAAAAAAAAAAAAGACAAGAGTAAAAAAAAGTTCGTTTTTAATTATTGTAGAACAATTTGTGTTTAAACGGGACTTTATTATTCAATCATTCCATTAACTGAATGAATCAGTTAATGAATCAGCTGTTTCACAAACCAATCATAAACAATAACAGGGAATACCTCAAAGACACATTTTTAAATCTCTTTCAATTTAATTATCTGAACTTGGCTTCAGTGGGACTGACATCTGATTGTTAACTCTTTATTTAGTAAAACACACACACACAAAACAAATTCACATGGTAAGTGTAAAATATAAATTACTGCATAAACATTTCTCATTGATAATTAAACATTTCCATCGTCACAGTGGATTCAGTGGCTCCTCCTTGTGGCAGGAAACTGTTACTGCAGAACAAAAACACTGAGAAACGTTTCGTTTTATTGTTGGGTTTTTATTGAGCTTCAGCAATGAACCTGCAAACGTCAGATGTAACAAACACACCAGAACTGCTGAGGAAGTCTGAAGTCATCAACACCTTCCTTAACATAACACTCAGAGTCAAAACAAAGGTTTGAATCCAGTTTAAATAAACTGCATTAAAAACAACCAGAAACAGGGAAGAAAAGAAGAAGAAAAAAAGCTACCAGTTTTTCCTAAATTTCCCACAATGCCTCTGGGTTGCTTTCCACACTTCACACCATGGTCTGCTACAATGAAAAGGACCAGGGTCACATGACTGCTGTGATTACCTTCAGACATCACAGGTACCCTGAGCAGAGACCCTCACCATTCAGACTGTAACAGCGCGGCGATACACAAACACACGGCACATCAGAGCTGATCGATTAACTGATTGGTTGACTGACAGACAGTTTATGTGCGGTCGCAGCTTCTTTGATGTTTTCTACAAGAGAAACACTGTAGCGCCACCTGTGGTCACACCAGAGCAAGCAGTAGTTACACTTAAATGATCCTGGTCACATGACCACGATGCTATTGGTTGATTAAGTTGGTATAAGGGAAAAGATCCTGGACTTTGGTTCAGTCTGTCCTGACTTAAAACTGTATGATAAACAGGCTTAAACTTGAGCTGAAGCAAAGAAACTAAAAACACTGGATGTTTCCAAGGCTTTGAAACCCTGACAAATACCTCCATGACACAACAACTAAGCCAAGGAACAAAACAAATTATGAAAATAAAACACTGAACACAACTGATTGATCTTCATCGAATGACTGACAGGCAGAATAATTCATATTAAAACTTAACACAAACTAATCTGAAAATGACTTAAAGCCAACAAGTTGGCTGAACGTTGTAGTGCCTAGAGTCTTTGTGTAATTAAACAGACAGTTAACCCCACATGTTGATGAAGAAGACTAAACCACTGATCTGTTATCATCCTTATCGCTGAAAAGAGAAAAAAAAAATGAAACAAAAAACTGATACAAACGAAAGAGGATCCTCGTTCATTCCCTGACCCTAACATTTTGTTAAGATCTCTACTATGACACTGCAACAATTAAACCAGATAATAAATAAACCTGAAATGTTGACAGATAAAATCTGAGGTATGAAAGTTGGGAGTAAATCTTTGACTATGGAAGCAAAACAACTTTGACGCATTGGCTTGTGCAAGAAAACTCAAACTGTGGTTTGAGGACTGAACCCTGAAAATCAAGCGAGTAGTATCGTTTGCAGAGCTGAACTGTTGCTCAGTCCACTAATCGGTTAATCAGCTCTTTGTGCTACCTGGGAAGACTCACACACATCTGCGTTGCAGCTTTTTGATCTCTCGTCACTTCATAAACATAAAATATGCCGGTAAACAAGATGAAGCTTAAAGGGAGCTTCGGGATGTTTTGACCCATCTGCAGCCGAAACAATATATATAAATATATAAAACACAGCAGATCTTTAATAACAGTATTATATAGTAAATGATAGAAGACGCAGACAATAAAGCTGACATTTTACTGACTATTCTCAGCACCGATTGTAATAAAGTCATGTTTTTGTTGGATTGTAAATGGTAAATGGCCTGTATTTGTATAGCGCTTTACTAGTCCCTAAGGGCCCCAAAGCACTTTACACATCCAGTCATCCCCATTCACACACACTTGTGTGGATTGTGTTGGATGTTTTGCTGTTTTTAGTAAACATTACTTTTACATTTTGGTTTTTTTAATCAATAATAAATAACAGCTTAGTTGTAAGTGCTTATTTTCCTTCAACAGTAATTTCTTCAAATAAAAACAGAGAAAAACAAACTGCATAATGTACAATGACCTCCTTTAGAAGCTGCTAATCTTCTGCAGAGATCCATGCCATCAGATTTAGTAAGTCTTAAATTTGCTGGAGCTCCTCCATTGTTAATAAATAATAATAACAACAATAATAACGATTATTAATAATACTACTAACAATAATAATAATCATAACTGTGACAGCTCCATGTAGTGGCCGATTGTTCTCACATGTTTCACACATCTGATACTTTAAAGATTCATTTGATGTTGAATGTCTTTGGATCAAACTAATGCTTTTTACGTCAGTGATACACAGACACACATGCAAGGAGAATCACTGAAATGAACACAACCTAAAAAACAAAAACCTTCACAATCCCGGTCTGTGGCAAACATCAGTCTCTATATGGTGTCACTGTGAAACATCCAGGTAGATTAAAGCCTGTTAAATCTGCCTGACAGTGTGACTTCCTGTTTTATTCATAGATGATAGGGAGCACTTCCCTCCTGGCGATCGACAAAGAACGTGAACAATGTAAATCAGCTTTATAAAGGTGTTTTCTGTGGAAGAATTCCAATTTGATCAATATGACTAATATCGGCCCATCACAGAAGTATCTGAGTACAATTATAATGAAACACACACTGAAACTTTAGACGTTAAAGGTCCGGCAGCAATCTCGGAAAGTCGAACAACTGTATTTTTCTGTTTATGACAGTAATCTGGGTCGTATCAATGTTGTTCGGATACTTTTCTTCTTCTTCTGCTGTAATGTCCTTTTTTGGTCTCGGGCATCAAAAGAGCTTCAATAGGGGTAAATAATGACTGGTTTTAAAACCTCGTCAGCTCTCCATAGAACTTATTTTTGATTTATTTAAATGGTGGCGCTCAAAGGTCAAATGCACTGCAACATAAGAAAACATCAACAAATGGAAC